ATCTGTCACCTATGATATGGGGGACACTGTACCAAGTAAAACAAGCCAAGCGCAGGAAGACTGAAGTCAGGGGCCTCAGGGTAAAGAAACCACAGCGTGATGGCACTTCTGTGTGGACCTAAAAGCCATGCACACAGGCACAGAGCAGTGCAGGAAGGAGGGAGTGCAGAGGTGCAGCTGGAGGAGAGGCAGGTTCCAGCGCGGGGAGGCTGCGACGACAGTGATGATGATGATGATGATGATGATGATGATGATGATGATGTAGGTGCTCCTGAATGCCAAGAGCGGGGCTCTTTATATGTGTGCACTGTGCAATATCACACTGGGAGCACACCCTGGAGCAACAACGTCAAGCTGGTTAGCACCCCCGTCACCCTGCACGCTAGCTGTCTGTGGTGAGGCCACTCAGAATCAAAATAGACCTCAGACCAGGAAACACCGAAGACAGCTCTGTCAGGCGGTGGCTGTGCTAACTAGCCAGACTGGTAGTCACTGTACACCGCATCCACATATGAAAACACATTTACACCACAGATCTACACATATTTTGGCAACTATTCCTCAATAATGAATAAAAAACACATTTAAATTTTTTAAATCAAATTGAACATTATTATCTCATCATAATAATAATGAGAACATTATTATCTCATTCCAACTTAAACAAGGTAAGGGACTTGCCATTAGAACTTGGATAAGGACGGCAACTGTGCCCCTCAGAGCGTAGGTCCCTCAGCTGGAGATGGCCTGTGCACGCACACAGAGGCAGACACAGCTCCACCTGAGCCGCTGAGTGCCCATGTCCTGGCCGGAGGGCAGCCGTGCTGCCATCACCAAGGCTGTCTCCACCTCGCACCTCATCTCTCAGGTTTGGGACGCCAGCTCATGACCTTTGGGGGAGGGGTCTGTCCTGTTCTAAGACCTAACGGAATTTCACCTAAGCAATTTGATGGACATGAAAAAATTTTTTTTCTTTTCTGTTTTGTTCTTTTTTGGGGAGGTGGGAGACAGTTCCAGGAACCAAACCTAGAGCCTTTGCTTGCTAGACAAGCCCCCTATCACTAAGCCACACCCCAGCCCCAAAGGAATATCCCTTAATCAAAATTCAACACACATGCAGGCACACGTATAGTATTTCATAAGTGATCCTAACTCATACCCTTTCTATTTTTTAGTGGCTATTCAGGACCTCTAGTAAATTGGTTCCTAAGCTGGCCGTGGTGTAAAATTCACTACGACTGGATGAACACTGCCCTGAGGGGCCCAGTACAATCACTGCAAGAAAAGCTGTGACTAGTCATCCTTGGTGGCTGCTATAGTACCACCCTGGAAGGCCCCAACGGTCTGAAAGGTAGGCCTTTCTCTGACAGACACACACCCAGCCCTGGGGATTATCCATGGCTCGGTCCTCTGCACCTCCATCCTGCGTGGGAGGCAGGAGGCTACAGGTGCACCTGTTCCTTGCATTAAGTTTGAGAGGGAACGGAAGGCAGAGGAGGGTTAGCTATCTCCAGTGGTCCTGAACTTACTCAACTGAGATTTACATCATCAAAATAGAGCTGGAGCCAGAGAAATTATTTTTTTAAACTAGATCTTGATTTACAACTCCAGATCAAGTGAATATCAGAAAGGATGGGGTGTAGGAAGACTCACCGTGACCTACTGAGCCTACACTGTGGGCAAGGCGACAGAATTAGTGGCTGTGGTTCATTTTTGTCTTCCCCTTTTTATTGGTTCTTTTTAGTTACATATAATGTTGGAATTCATCTTGACATAATCACAAAGGCATGGCATATGATTTGGTCTGATTCAGTCCCCAGTACTTCCCCTTCCCCCACCTTCCCTCTACTGATCTTTCTGCTGTTTACTAATAGTTGTTTTGTCTGTTTGTCTATTTGTTGTTTCTGGGTCTCGGGGACCTGCATGAGGGTGAGTCTCACGGTGGTACACCCACACGTACACAGGAAAGTCAGGTGAGACTACTCCTTTTGCTGTTCTTCCCTCATCCCATCCCTTCTCCCTCTCCCTAAATCTCCTTCATCTAGTTCACTGACGTTTCTGTTTTGATAGAATTCCCTACCCCACCCCTTTTCCCTTTGTCTCTTGCTCTGTTTCTGTCTCTCTCATTCCTTACTTTGGACTAATTTCCACATTGCAGAGAAAACATTCAACCTTTGATATTTGGGGTCTAACTTATCTCACTTAACATGATAGTCTCTAGTCCATCCATTTACCAGCAAATGCCATAATTTCACTCTTCTTCATGGTGCTAAATTTTTAAATAGAAACCATTCCTTGAAACTTCACTATATAATGAATGATAATGTTCTTTTTTCAAGTAAATCTAAATGATAGAAGATAAGAATTGGCCCAAAATAAGACAAGTATAATGAAAATGCACAGCAAACCAAATACATACCCAGCAAACCAAAAGAACATTTAATTTATTTACAATAACAAACCTTGGGCCTGGGACATAATGAAGAGCTGATGGACTCTTAATGGTTTTTCTTCTGAGTTCCTTGGCACATCCTTATTCTGAAGTCTCCTAACTAGCCATGAATGAATAATGGTAGAAGAAAAGCTTGATTCCTTTCTCACATGATTCTTGGAGAACTAGTTCAGATATTTTCACATAACCATAACAAACACACAGCGGATCAGCACACCATCAGGAACACATATGTCAAGGGCAGAGGATTGAATGTGCTTCCATGCAGGAAGGTCAGCCACCATGCCTCTGCCTTTCCAAGGCATCACCAGTACTTTCACGTGATTTATGACTGAGGGCATGAGAGACGGTGCAAAGATCCTATGCCGAATTCCCACATGGCACATAACACAGCCAAACTGTGAAAATCTCATAAACGTGGGTGGATCAGTTTCATCGAGAAAGGAGCTGGAAGTTCCAGAGAGTGAGCAGGAAACCGGCCAGAGAGTTTTTTACAGCCATGCAATTCCAGAGCAGTGGCAATGCACGCAGCTCTCCCTGCACACATAACACCTGGGCTAGACACATGGGCAGAATGCAGGGACAGGCGGAGACAAGGAATACTATCAACAGTCTGGCTGAGTCTCCAGTAAACTGAAACTGCTGTCATAATTTTTAAAATGATTTCAAAGGAGGTCAAGTCATGTCTTTGGAAAGTCCCTCATAAATATACTGAGGTCACTATAATCCCCATAGAATACCGAAGGTGAAAAAATAAGTAATGAGCTGTTTTAAAGAGACGGTATGAGGTTACATAATAGCAAACATTCGTCACATCACAAGTATGTTTTCACATGGATTTTTAGGACCTTGAGTATCTTTGGACATGTTTCCTGAATTTGACTCAAACACTATTTATCATCCTCACAAAACAGATAAAACAAATGTGTTCTGCAACAAGAACTGGAGCAAAGGTCAAGGGTAAGATGGGAAATCGGCAGAACCAGCTACGAGACCACGATGTGAGGAGGGAGAGGGAAGCCAGCCTGCAGCTGCTCCAGGGGGCTGCACAGAACCCTGAGCAGCAGCAGGGCATGCACTACACACAGTGAGCATGGGAACCCCACTTGTCACTGGGAGTCATGACAAGGCTGGACTTGGGTGATTTCCCTGGAGTGAGAAGAAATAAAACTAAGAAGCTGACTAAATGGCATGAAGGGGCTGGGGTGGAAACCAACTATCAAGATGCTAGAATAGCAAGGGCAGGCATGGGCTAGGGTGCAGCTCAGTGGTAAGCACTTGCCCAGCACCTGCACTACCCTGGGGTTCATCACCAGCCCCAAAAGATATATGTAAGCAAACTGACAAGAAAGGGGCATTCGTGAGGGTAGTGAGAGGGTGCAGAAGGCAGGGTCTTCAGGATTTGGCCCTAATTCTGTAAAGACTCAAGACTAAAGAAAGAGACTTGGGTAATCATGTAATTCTGTCATTAACAGAAAAAGAAACTGCAGAAGAGCAGTTATCTGGGGCAAAGAGAACGAAAAATCCACTCTGGAGCATGCTGAACACATTGTCAAAAGCATGCCCAGCTATGAATCTAGCAAGCAACTAAAATATGGGTCTGAAGCTTGCGTACTATAGAAAGTGAATCATCTGGAATTCTTTAGTACAGCTTTGATGGCAACATTATGGGTACAGTCAAAATCTTAGGGGGAGAGAGCACAGAAGATGTCCAGAGCACCCAGGCCATTCTCCTGGGCCAAGGGAGACTGACAGCATGGAAATGTGCCCAAAGGCCCTATGTCAGAGACTTTGTCCCCAGCTTGGTCCCCAACCTTGATGATACTGGGAGGTGTCAGAACCTTCAGGAGATGGGGTCTGGTGGGGGAAGTGAGGCACTGGGATGTGCCCTTGAAGGGGACACTGGGACCCTAGCCCCTTCCCCCGAACCCAGCCATCTCCCTGCTGCCCAGCCACCATGAGGCCAGCAGCTCTGTTCCAGCATGCCCCAAGGAGGTTCTGCCTCCCCACAGGCTTCAGAGCAAAGGAAGCAACCTGGATGGAAGCCTCAGACACCACGCTCTAAAACAAATCTTTCCTCCTCATAAGTGGCTTATATCTCAAGTATTTTGTCACAGTGACAGAAAGCTGACAAACAGAGACCAAAGAAGTCAGAGAAACTGCAAAAGACCTAGCAAAATATACCATAAGGACACCAAAGATGAGAACATTTCCAAAAGGCAACATAAGTAGAGATAAGTCTTTTTAAAAAGGAGGAGGACAAGGAGGTCTTGGCACTCAGCACCACCCCACAGCTGTCAAAATTAATTTAACAGCCGAGAGTTAGTTCATTTATTTAATAGCTCAGTAATGCTTGCTTATCAGACAGCTTCTGTAGAGAAGGGAAGCCGGAAGCCCCGCAGAGCCAATTGGTCTGAGGAGCCATAGGAGAGTAGAAGCAAGATGTTCTCCAGGCTCCACCACACTCCGAACTCCCCAGATGCCTAGGGATAAGCAACTGAAAATCATCATCAGCAAATAAGTGAAAAAAATCTGAATATGCTTTTACCTTCTTGTGATTCTTGTAGACATTCCTGTGAGCGAACCCCTTTCCACAAAGCTTGCACTTGTAGGGCTTGTCTTCACTGTGAATGACTTTGTGAGCGCCCACTTGATCAAGCCTCTTAAAAGACTTGTTACAAATCTCGCAATGATAGGGCCGTCTTTCTGTGAAAAATGAGTGGAGAAGGCTCAGGTCTACACAAAGTAAAGGGTCTGAGGGACACGTTCTACCCTCAAACCACAGGAGCATAAGTAATCTAAAACGTGGTTACACTAAAGGAAGCTGCCACCCTATCCATCATGCCATGTCTGCAAATGGAAGGTGAGCTTGCTCTTCTGCAGGCCTGTTTTGAAAACTAAAGCTTCCATGTGAAGAAGTTTAAGTTCAAAGGCGAAATCCAGATGAAAAATGGGCTGAGATGTGTGAGTTTAATTCAGACCCTAAGGCAGGGAGGAGACCCTGCAGCAGAGCTTCCACTTCCCAGCGTATGAGCACTCAGACGGAGAACAGTCCACCTTTACCCCAGGTAACCTGAAAGACTTGTTACAAATGATGCCCATAACTAACTTAAAAAATACCGTGCCAATCAAAGCACACCTGAAGGCCACCAGTTTTTAATCTGACTTTAATTTGCTAAAACACCTACATCTACCTCCAAAAAGGGTGGACATTAGAAAATATCCTGACTTCAAATGGCCTCAAATTGGGCATCTTGACTTCTAGAAGAGACTTCATTGAGAAAAAATTGTTTCCAGAGTTGACTTTTTTTAAGTCTGCATAAGTGCAGCTCCTGCTGCTGAAACTGGCTTCAGAAAGATACTCCAAAGCATATTTATAAATCCCTCTTGACACTGACTTATTAGGGTTGCATTTAGAATGTAAGGTGTCCATCAATGTAGACCCTGAGACTGCAGAGCCTCCCAAGTGTGAGACACTGCCAGCAGCATAACAGGGACCTCACCTAGCCTGTGCAGGCACCAGGATTCCGCTGCACAGATGAAGAATAGAGAAACTGAGATCCAGGAGGTGCAGGTGAGGAACTGAAAGGGAACGGTGAAGACTTGTATGTCCTTCAGTCCAACCACCTTTGCTTTATAAACAGAGTTCAAGAGCATTCAGTAATTTGCTCAAAGTCACATGACTAGTTAAAGCCAAGCCAGAACTCAGAGCAGGGCCATGACTCTGAGTCCTGGGAATGACAGGATCTTCTTCAGGATCTCAATAAATGAAGAAGCAGCATTACCTGAGTGGGTGATGAGATGGCGCTTTAGCTGATTGGCTGAGACAAACTTCTTCATGCATTCTTGACAATCAAAAATCTCATGGACCTGCAAGAGGTTAGTGAACAGTTAATCAGCCGTTGAAGCCTAACAAATCACATGAAACCCAAGCAAAAGCACAAACATAGGGGCAGCTGCTACTGCCATGTCCAAATGACCCAGTAAAATTCAGCCCTGATTTGCTCATACTGCCCTGAATAAATTAAAATGCAGTGAATACATTCCTAGTAAAAACACATCATCCAAAGAAAACAGACTAAAGCTGCTTAAATATGCAATGACTGACCTACTTAGTTCATGTCAAATGTATATGCTCTATAAAAAGTACAGCTAATACATTAATTCCTTTGTTGTGCACAAATTTAGACTTAGACATCTGTAAACTGCAGGTAATACTGTTCCTTTTCTAGTAACCAAGGATATTTTAAACTTAAATGTATGTAGCACAGAGCAAAGTATTAATTACAGCAGAAGACCAGAAGAGAGATGATTCTGAAGGCATTTAGTTCTCAGTGCAAGTGTCCAACGACAAGAGAACCCCAGCCAAAAGAAAACGGGAGACGCAGGTCCAGGGAGCCAAAGCCAAACAAAGGAGGATGAAGCATCTAAAGGTCTGACCTAAGACCTGAGGACTACAGCAGTGATTGCATAATGCACTCAAGGTCTATTGTAACCCGAGTAGGTCACGCTGCCCTTGCACTGGAATGGGGGTGGGTGACTCTGAGATGGTGATAAGTAAATTTGTTTCACTACAACAACTATTTTACTACATGTGTATGGGTTTGTATCCCATAATATCATATCTTAAAAATATACCATAAGATGTATATTTAAAAAAATCATAATAACAGGGATATAACTTTAGCTAATAATTACTTAATATAAATGTTACAGTTGAATATTACATTGGTTCTTTCCCTCCCAGACTCCAGATCACGGAAATGGGTCAGTGGCATAAAAAGTGGAAGTCCAGTTTATTACCAGAACCAGGATTCTAGGTCCTAAAGCAAAGCCCCGCACAAAGCCTTGGATGGGAAATGCTGATCATCAATGAACAAGAGCACCAGTAACTCGGCTGAAGACTCAGAACTGGTTTGGTGGAGTCATGTTCATGGCCCACCTCATCAAAGGCACAGTCGGAACATGACCCAGATAGACAAAGCATGCAGCCTGATGCAGAACAGCTGGAGACACACCCGAGGACCAAGACCCTGGACCGGTGTAGCACCACAGTGATGTGGGGGGATGGGCTGTCCCCTGCCACATTTGCCTAATCTAAGTGACTAGGACAGGACTCAAAGCAGAGAGGGGGAAAGGGGAAGACACAAGGATGAGGCCCACAGATGGGAGCCCACAGCCCAGGCCCACCATCACTGCCAGGCATGAGGCAATTCCAAGGCAGCAACCCTTGCTGCTTCTGTCTAGCCTGACTCTTGGGGATCTGGAAACTTCACCTGAGAAAAGCCAAGCAAAGTAGAGAAACAGCAGCAGCAAAATCCACCCTTGTGGGAGGGCCTGACATGTGCTCTTTAGAGATGTACAGGAGCTATGGGGTCTGCAGGATTCCTGTACAAAGGCCATCCTGCAGAGAAGCATGGCCCCCACCTAACCAGGGTCCTTTCCAGAGCCCAGTGCTCAAGAGCAAGATACAAGTGTCATAGAGCTCAGAAGAAATGTGTCTGTGCAATGCGTGCCAAAGGCTGCCCCTTATATAATTTTGAAATGACCAATATGATAAGCCTCTGAGCCATACATAAATTAAAACTTTATTTCTTTTCATTCCAGTCAGATATGGTGGCACACACCTATAATCCCTGCCCCTTGGGAGACTAAGGCAGGAGGATCGCAAGTTCAAGGCCAGCATGTAGCAAGAACGGTCTCAAAATAAAAAGGGCTGGAGATGCAGCTCAGTGGTAGAGCGTACCTGGGTTCAATCCTCGGTACCACAAAAAAAAAAAAAAAAAAAAAAAAAAAATCACTAGTCCACAAAGGAAAACAAACAATTAGATGAAACACTGCTGGATACTCATGTGTTCACTTCTTAATGCTCACAGCTTCAGAAATAGGAAAATCTTTTCAAGGTTGAATTAAAAGGATAGTCCCAAAATTACAAAAAGTGATCATGTACTGTACAAGAGAGCATGCCGAAGCTATTTCCAAATACCCAAGGCTGCTCAACAAACAGATTTAAAGTCAAATGATGGGTGACACTATTAGGATAAGAAATAATCCTCAATTAAGATTTTGACCCAGATGTAAAGGTCACTCCAAGAAAATAATCAAAAACATTCCAAACATTCTAGCCAAACGTTTGTCCTGGAGCAGCAGGAAAAATGCAAGTGATGGTGGGCCTGAATGGAGATTACAGGAAAATTCAAACTCAAGGGCTAAAGAATCACAAGGTCACCAGACAAATCAACATTGCTGGTACTTTTCCAAGACCTGGTTAGCCTGAATATTGATCAGTGCCCCTACCAGTAGCTATATATGCCCCTAAACTGTATATTCAGGCAGCAACCCCTATTGGGACACCCCTCTTACTCCTGTAGAAGCACTGTCTCTTTTCTTCTCATGTTACTTTGCCTTCTATTATTTTCTGTGGATTTCATTCTTGGAATGTGCTGAGACCCTGGAGAGCACAATCCCCATTAACAGCTGCAACACATCACTCAATAATAGTAGAGAAGAACCTGGTTTTGCCAGTTGTGAACTCAGAGCTGACACCAGCAGGCACCCCCTGCCTTGATTAGCTCCCAACACTAAAGAGAGTTTTCTGAGCTGCAGAGACCTTCAGCTTGCACAGATCCACCCACCAGCAGAAGCAGAGAATCTAGTCTCATCTCAAATTGCAGTTTCAATACAATTTAATTACACCCAAAGCTATGTAGAAATATTTTGAAAATTATTAATTGGGAGAATAATATGTTACCATTTTTAAGTTCTAATAATTGTCAAGAGGGACCACAACATTCCTTGCTTTAATATAGGATAGTGTCTATTGTCATAAAGCACCATCTACTGGCAGGGTGATGCCGGGTAGCTAAACTCTATTAGACATTAGACACACCCAACCAAAGATGGCCAAAACTGTCAGCAATACAAGCTGCCTAGTATTCAGGAAGGTGAAACTTGAGCAGCGAGGCTATTAGGGAGGAAGGACTGTGTTAAGTCAATAAGGACTAGGGCTCCATAAGGGCTCACCTCAAAGACAGGAGCTATAGCCCCTCTACCAAGATGCTCCTCTAGGGGAGAAGCTCTTACGTTGAGAAGGAAATAAATGAATAACAGGACATAGTTCAGAAATATTCTCCACAGTGAACTGTGCTAAAATGCTCATTTGGTAAACTATTCTAAATTTCAACCTCTTTAAACAAATCAGGGAAATAAACCATAAAATAATAAAAGTAAGAGGATATTTAGAAAACATCTATTCCAGTAGCTTGATCTTTTTGATAGAATAGGTTTTTCTTCTTGAAGCCAGACAAGAGATGGGAGGGGAATGAGATACCTAAAAGAAGGGACATCTGCAATGGCACCCAGGCAAACTGTCCAAGGTAATTTCTGTACATGTACTAAATTCTGAGTAATACAAAGATCAGCAAGACCCCCACAGAGGAATGATACACATTCACAAGACACTTCAATTTTTAAAATAATCTAATTAAAATCACTATTTGGAAACTTTACCAAAAAAAGAATTTAATAGCACTAAGAGAACAAAACCAAAAACCCAACACTGATGTGTTCAACACTGAGGGCTACTGACACACAGAGCCCCCACCCTGATTCACAATCAGGCTGTTCCATCACTTCTCCATATGAGGATCAAAACTGTTCCAGAAACCAGAACTGCAGACATGTCAACAAAATGATTTAACTGTCTCAAGTGCTAAATTAAGTCCACAAAAATGGTTGGAGCTACTAGATTAAAAATCATAATGAATTTCCAGTACCATCAAGTTATTTTGAAATACACCTATGTATACAGAGAGAGACAATTCATATTATAAAACACAACAAAAGTAATTTTTCATCTTTGTATAACAGAATGTAACATGTACATTTTGGACCCTAGAAATGACATTAATGAAAATATAAATTCAATTTTAACTCTCTTTTATTATACATTCTATTAACTAGAGGATAATATTCTTTTTTTTAAAGAGAGAGAGAGAGAGAAAGAGAGAGATTTTTTTTAATATTTACTTTTTAGTTTTCGGTGGACACAACATCTTTATTTTATTTTTATGTGGTGCTGAGGATCAAACCTAGCACCCCGCGCATGCCAGGCGAGCGTGCTACCGCTTGAGCCACATCCCCATCTCAAGGCTAATATTCTTAGGTAAGAATTACCATTTATTTTTCAGATTAATTTTTGCTACAAAATAATAAATTTTTATCCTTTTTGTAAAATGTTAAATTCATTTTATCCTAAGGAATCATTTGCGTCTGCTAATAACACCTAGATATACAATCGTATCAGTGCACGATTTACCACATCAACATGAAAAATAGAATGGAGTAAAATCAAACTCAGTGGACCGTTACATGGCAATTCACATCATCACGAAATCACACAATGCAGCTCTCGCCTTTGTTGTGCCAGACTAAACTATGACATGCACTCATTTCAAAACCAAAGGTCACTTGCCAGCACATTCCAAAAGTGCATAGTTTTCTCACTGACTTATATTTCCTGAGCAAACAGCAACGGACAAGGCCATGAGCCAAGGCAGGTGTTTTAGGTAAAACCTTGGCCAGAAACGACACAGGGCGGAGGGGCAGTGTGTTCACCAGCGCTGAGCAATGACAGCAGCTCAAAGCCTCGGCAGCTTGCCTTTCTGCACACTGGCTCTGTGCTCTAGAATACGGTACCACTTAGATTCATGACAAAGCTCTGTCCTGGGTCAGTCAGCCACAAGTTCACATGGCAGACACCACGAGCTGCTGACAGGTCTCTGCGAGTGGGGTTCATCTCACTGACCTTCCTGTGCTCCTGCAGGCTGGAGGCAGAGGAACACTTTTTACTGCATACCGAACACACGAGCTTTTTCTTAGGATCTCCTAAAAGAGAAATGAAAACCTGTCATGAATTAAATGAGACAATAAGGGGCACCACAGGGAGTTTCCACAGGGTATGAAATTCCACCCCATAACTCAGGCGCCAGCATCCATTCAGATCGCAGGGAGAACCATCCATCAAACTCACATAAAGAGCGAGTGGTATTTGAGACCCTTTCTTTCAAATGTAAGAGATATGCCGCTTATATTCTGCCTTCTACGTGCATGGAACAGACCTCTTTCCCTTTCCTATGTCCTAACCAAGAATTGCACATCTCCATGAACCATCAAGCCAAAGCTGAAAGGAGCCAAATCCACTTATGAAGGGAAAAACTGAATTATCAATTCACAAGTTGATTTTTTCTACTTCCTTTATATTTCAATAGAATATTTTATTTCATCTCATAGGGTTATAAAGATGGAATTCATAAATTAGATTATTCTATCATTAGACTTTAACAAAATCTATGAGCACACTTTTTAGCAAATCAATGTTAGGAAATAGAATAAGATAAAATCAAGCAGGATTAAACATTATATTGACAATCCACACCTTCATATATTAAACATTATATTGACAATCCACAACAAAACAAAGCTGACTTTTGTCTTCTCATATAGGGATTAAATTTATAGTGGTTCATTTTACAAGCTTCACAGTGGTTATAGAAATGAAAAGACTTGATAAAATATGTGAAAAGATTGATTAAATGTGATACAGTAACAGTATCATCTTTATCACCACAAAGAGCCACAAAATGATCTGTCAACTTTTAACTGATTTCAAATACACAAAAAGTAAATACATGGTACAGCGAACGGTGGGCCCATTACCCACTTGACCACAGCAGACGACACCTGCTCCTGTCCAACCTATACTCCCCTCTCCCTACTTCTTTATTACTTTGAAGCAAATCCAAAGCAAGCAAAACCAGAAATATGAAACAGTTTGGTTTTGTTATAGGATAATGTTTATAAAAGAAAAACATACTTTAATAAAAAAAGAATAAAAATTTTCATCTTGAATTTCCAGGTATCCCGAGTAGCAGCACATCCACACCACGCCCAGCACTGCAGCCAAGAACACATCCTCGGTGCTGTACAAGGAGGAGCGCTGCTGAATAAGAAAAGGCTCCCAAGCAGCATGAACACCTGCCACACGTCCATCAACCTCTCCGAACACACAGCCACCTGAAGGGCCACTGGGAAGGAACATTCCCTCTCCAGCTCCCACCAGCTGGGATTGCCCATCTTCCACCCAGAATTCCTTTTCACCCCTGCCCCATCCGGCACTGTGGCTGTTCCCTAAGGCTGTGCCCTGTCTTCCCTACAGTGGGTGCAGGAGGAAGAGGGCAGAGAAGTGGGTTTCTTCAGGCAGCCCTCTCACCTCACTCAGCACCCCAGCTCGACCACATCCCCTGCCCACTCTCTAGTCTTTTTCCTCCTCCTCATATCTCCTCTTCCACTGAGATCTGGAATCTCAGTTCCTTTGGAAAAAAATGCAGAAAAAGCTTGTGGCTATGAAAACAGATCATCTTCTATAATTACACTCTCCTCACCAGCATCCATAGGACCTAGCAAAGGAGAAGGGCAGGAACTGGGTCCAGAAGCAGCCCCTTCGACTGTGGGCCCCTTTTGGCTAAGTGTAGAGGTTCTCACCACTCCACAAGCTCCCAGAGGTTCCAGGACAGTGGCACCTGCACAAACCCAAACTAGACCCTGGTGCCACTGTGGCTTTTCTGTAGCAAGTGAATCTGGTATTTGACTTGCATTCTCGGCTGTCAAGAATCCTCATCTGGGTGGGGGATGCAGCTCAGTTAGAGAGGGCTTGTCAGGCATGCACAGGCCCTGTGTTCAACCCCTAGGGCCAGACAAAAAGAAAAATGTTCAGAAACACATTCCACAGTAGGCGACCATGAAAGGAATCCTCAACTGCCCCAAACACTTGGTCACCCAGGTTCTAGGACCACAGCACCCTCCCTGCAGGTTAAGGACCTTCAAGAGCTAGCCCAAGGACCTGCCCACCTCATGCACAGCCTCTGTGGAGAAGTGTGGCCCACACCCACAGCAGCAGGAGCTACAGACTGTGCACCCTGGAATCCCTTCGTCCCTTTGTACTGAAGGATCCACAACCATGGGAACGGTACTTCACTGGCCACTAGCAGGGAATGCTCTGTCCCAAACGTCTTCATGGCTCTCAGAGAAGAGAGAAGGCAAGAGAGAGGCCATGCATGAGACACTGAACTCATGTGCCAGACCCAGCAAAAGCACTGACTATTCTTCCTAAACACTAAGATTTCACATTTCACACAATCTGCAAAATGGAAAGAATAACAAAACTATTTCCTTTTATGAATTATTTTTGACAAAATCACCATGAATTTCCAGAAACTGCAATATTATAATATCCAAGGCCAGTTACAAGAAACCTCAAAAAACTATGCCCACAGCTGGGCACAGTGATACATGCCTGTAATCCCGGCAACTTGAGTAGCTGAGGCAGGAGGATAGTGAATTCAAAGCCAGCTTCAGCAACTTAGCGAGGCTCTGAGCAACTCAGCAAGGCCCTGTCTCTAAATAAAATACAATAAAGGGCTGGGGGTGTGGCCCAGTGGTTAAGCACCTCTGGATTCAATTCCAGGTACCACCACTACCAACAACAACAACAAAAAACAACTATGCTCACAACACAGCAGAAAGGGCACAGGCCCAGGACTTGGAACACAGATTTACAGGGTTTCTATGCTCATCTGGCTTCTCAAGTGGACTTTAAAACTGACTTTAGGGCTGGGGCTGTGGCTCAGTGGTACAGCTTTTGCCTGGCATGAATGAGGCACTGGGTTTGATCCTCATCACCACATAAAAATAAAATAAAGATATTATGTTCATCAACAATATATATATATATATATATATATATATTTTTTTTTTTTTTTTTTTTTTTTTTTTTAACTGACATCAGGGGCTCAGTGGTAGAGCACTAGCTACCCTTGCACATGTGAGGCACTGGGTTTGATCCTCAGCACCACATAAAAATAAATAAAGTGAATATATTTTTAAAAAATTGACATCAAAGCTTTGTTACACCACATTGCAGACCTAGATGCAGAAAATTAAGAACAGCATTTTAATCAGAACAGCATTTTAAAAAACTATGAAGGCAATTCTATGAAAAAGTTATGCTTGCCTTTTGTGATCATGGAGAAGGTCCCAGTAGACCTGAATTCAGAAAAATGTCATTGCCATACTTCAGCCACACGTTCTTCTAAAGGACAGACAGCAGACAACACCTGGAAGTCCTAGCGATGGGCACCAGCTGTGGTGCACCTCCCAGACTGCCTGCCATCACAGTGTGCAGCCCACACCCCAGCAGAGCTGCCGTCAGCAGGCAGTAGCCATGCTCACTCATGACCTCTGCCTGCCTTACTCAAGCTGGACTCAGAGACAACAGACACAAGAATGAGGTCCAGACACTGGGCACTGATTACCTTCCCCTGAATGTGAGAGGAGACGAGAGGAACCAGCTATACCGTGCCCACTTCCTGACAGCCCAGGCATGGCAAGGGGGATAGCAGCCCGCGGATCATTACCTACGACAGGCTGAGTCTGCACACCAATGACCACCGACCAAGCGCTAAGCAGTAAGATCCAAGTGACGAATTTTATACTTGTTTTGTTGATTAGCTAGCCATTAGAAGGAATTCAAATAGCATTGCTTTATTCACCTAAACGTATTCAATTCCCATGTCAAAATATAGTTAGAAATATTCTTCAATATAGAAGAAAATATAAGCATTAAAATTGTATTAAATATTAAAAATATTAAGGTGAAAGGGCATCCATCACTTGAAGTTTGAAACTGTATCTATACTTGTCAACAATTTATGAGAAGGCAATTTCCTATGTGGAAATATGAGATTGATCATCAAGAAATATTAATGCTTTGTGGGTCTAATTACCAGGCACAAGCAGACCTGAGCTTAGTGACAGGAAAATAACAAATGCCACTGAGATCAACTTGAAAGGAGGAGCTTTCAGTGAAAGAAAAACTGTGCATCTGTGCAAGGCGGGAAGAGTCTCCCAAAGTGAGGCGGAGCGGAGTGCGGCTTCCCCAGCTGCTCACCAGCATGGACATTTTCCTGGTGTCTTTTCAGGGCGTCTTTGCTCTTCAGTCTCTTCCCACAGCTGTTAGCCCTGCACACGAACCTGGCATCCCCACGGCACATCTCCTGGTGCTGCTCAGAGCTACAAGACAACCAGCAAGGGGACAAGCAACCATGAGTGCACAGCATGACACGTAGCCATCATCCCAGGCCTTTGCCACACATCTCACGAGAGTTTTGGGGTCATTTCATGCATTATCTAAGCAGGGGAGAAAGAAGGCTTAAATTCTTCGATTTAACTAGCGTAATACTGAGTCCCTGATAAGCAAGGGATTGCACATGCAAAATGACCCAAATTGTGTAACAGCCAGCTGGTAACTCAGATGAAACCTCAGTGCTGAACTGAAGAAGGGCAGACAGAGCACTGGGAACTGGGCGAGGCCTTCCAGGCTGCTGCCCACTGTGCGCTCAAGAGCACTAGAGGAAGAGAGAGGGACTATGACCTCAAGGGTAAGAGGCCCACCATGAGGAAAGCCACGGTAGCGATTCCTGGCTCCTCTGTCCTCTTTTTCAATCTGCACTAGCACCTTGTTTCAACAGGCTCCAGCTCAGCACAGGTATCTCTGGGGTACCAGGGAACACTGTCCTATAAGGCTGACTGGACTGCAGTGTTACCAGGATGTACCCAGGCCCTGGCTTGACTGTTCCTTAAGAAACTGCAACAGAATCTCTAAATGCTTAACCTCCTGGTATCATAAACATTTTGGTTTCTTAAACATTTACTAAGTTTAAGTCAAACATTTTATTCTCAAATTTTATTAGCAAAAATGGATGCATCTAATGCACAGAAATGGTCTCAATACGAAATGGCATATTTTAGAATCTTACTTTAACAAAACCAAAAAAAGGAATGTTTAACCTTTGTTAACGATTTCTTACCAATGCTTACTTAAATATGAGTTTATAGGTTTCATGATCCCGTGAAAGACAAGGATCACTTTCATGCTATTAACATACATTGCTAAAATAATAAAGAGTTCACAGTAAGTAGCTCAGAGCAGGGGATCATTTAACTTTATCACATTCTCACATTCTGGATCTATTTGTCTCTAGATTATCCTCCAAGACTGCTCTTGAACAAACAGTGCTTTCCAAAACCTCGGTGTATTCCTCACACTCTGAAATCTGCACTCCTTGAACTCTCAGCTGGTTCCAGAGGGGACATGAGTGGAGCTGACTGAGACTTGCTGTGCCACCTCAAGCCCTGGCTCCATCATGAATATCTGGATGTCAGCTAGTGAACCATGCAGCTCAATTAACAAGGCCAAGTCATTAAGTGGACAAATACAATCTATACCAGCAATGCTTACTTCAACTTCACAATCCAAACATGTAAAAAATAACATGCTACACTCAGAAAAGACGTTGGTGCCTGCCACTGTGGGACCCCACCCCTCCACGAGTCAGGTCAGACACAGCAGATGCTCTGTGGTGTACGCACTGTCTTTGCAAGGCCTGCTGGACTGGGAATTTCTTCCCACAGATCTTGCACTTGAATTCCTTCTCCTCGGTGGGCCTCTGGTGCAGCATCTGGAGGTGCTCAGCAAGAATCTCCGCACTGGGGAAGCTGGACTCACACTGTGGGCAGGCGAAGTCCTCTGTGCAGCCAAGGGGATCTGCGCCTTGACAAGGAGTGCATTAGTGAGGCCAAAGTTCAGAGCAAGAGCTGCAAGCTTGTGCACCCGCTTTGAAATCAAATTAACTATGTATAACATGAACTCTTTTATGTCTATGAACCTTAAGTGTAAACATAACAGGAAGTATTACTGGAGAGAAATACATTCTTTCTAAAATAATTTACTTGTGTTTCACCAAATTAATTCAAATTCAAATTGAATTTTTAATTTACCCTTTGATGCTAACTGTCCAGATCAGAGCCTTCAACTACAAAATCCTCCCTGAACTAGGCCACCCGTGGCTCACTTTTGGCTTCACAAGGACAAGTGCAGTGGAGGCAAACTGTGCTGAAGCACAAGGGGGTGACACTCAGGTGGAAAGACTGCCACCAGGGCATAGGAGCAGAAGGACCTGCAGGGCTCTGCCCAAGTCCCTCAGTGTGCCATGTAACTCCACCTTTCGAATACCAGACTCGGAAAATAAAAACGACCAATGATCCCATCCAGAAGAGACCACGGCTCCCCTGGGGCTCCAGGGCCAAGGGTCTTCGTGCATGTGTATCTCATACACAGCAGAAGAACAGCTATGCTACTGTCATACTTCACAGGAAATGGTAGAGGCTTTTCCAACATCTTCTCAGGCCAGGTATGTTTTTTAACCCTAAGGTAGCAAATTCATTTAACCCAACTCTCCACTGTCAGATGTCAGGGCTTCTTGTTTCTCTTGCTGAGATTTTGCTTTTTTTTTTTTTTTTTTTGCTTTTATAAGTGAGTCACTAAGAATTACAAAATGAAAATAGCAACAAAAAGTAATACCTGGTTCACACATTTAAAAAATCTTTTATTAATATATTTACTTTATTTATTTTTATATGGTGCTGAGGATCAAACCCAGTGCCTCACATGTTCAAGGCAAGTGCTCTACTGCTGAGCTATAACCCCAGCCCCTTAAAAAAATCTTTTTAAGTATCTGCTAATTCTTATTACAAAGATGACAACTAATATTTTGATAACAGAAAAAATCAGGGCATTAAAACAGAAGTAGGATAAGTTATTTTTAACTTAAAATAACATATACAATAATAAGCCCTAGGGCAAAGGAGAAAAAAAAATAAAATAATACAGCCCCAGTGGCTGCTCTGAAAAGCCATCTTTGCACTGTTCTTGGGTCCAGCTCCCTGCTCACCACAACCAATGCATACTCTGGCGGCTTTACTGCCAAAGTCCCTGAACTCAGTTTCCTTTTTAACCCACTGCATCAGATCACCATCAGGCCCCACCATGTCAGACATAGCGTGGACATTAGCTCCAAGATCACCACCAAGGACTTAAAGGAGAAGAAGAAAGTTGTGAAGGAGGCAGAAAATGAAAGAGACGCCCCAGCTAATGGGAATGCTAATGAGGAAAATGGGGAGCAGGAGGCTAACAATGACGTAGATGAAGATGAGGAAGAGGAGGAAGGTGATGATGAGGAAGAGGATGGAGATGAAGATCAGGAGGCTGAGGCAGCTACAGGCAAATGGGGAGCTGATAATGATACTGATACCAAGAAGCAGAAGACATCCAGATGAGGATGACCAGACAGCAAAAACGGAAAATTAAATGAAAAATAAGAGACCACCATGACATATTCACCCTCCACTTCCTGTCTCCAAATGTAAATGTGGTCACCTTTGAGTAGAGAGGCCCAGTACCTGTCCACTGTAGGCAGTGCCACCCACAGATGACACCTGCTCTTCACCACCCAACCAAAACCACAATATAAATTTGCAACAAGGCAGGAAAAAAAGAACCAAACCTTCCAAGGCTCTGCTTATTTTCTTAAAAGTAATTTTAAAAAGAAAAATTTGTATTTTTAATCTACATTTTATATTTTTGTGCATATTGTTAGGGATCAGCCATTTTTCATGATCTCAGATGACCAAAATAGCCTTCGGAGCATTTTCTGTCCTACTTCTTTCTGACTTGTGGTGTGACCATGTTCATTTATGATCTCAAAGGAGGAAAAAAAACTCGTAAAAAAAAGCGAAAACAACAACAAAAAATCTTAATTCTGAGCATTCGAGTAACTTTTTTTGTGAATTTACTTCAGCTCTACTGTAAGTAGTTGGTTTGGAAATCATGGTTTAAAAGGCCAAAGATAAAAATGTTTCTTTTTTCTTTTTTTGTCTATGAAGTTACTGGGTTTTTTTGTTTTGTTTTGTTTTGTTTTGTTTTTTGCCTGTTTGATGTATGTGTGAAACTATGTTGTCCAAAAATAAACTGGAATTTTATTGTAATCAAAAAAAATTGCTGTCACTCCAAATCCAAACAGCTTAAGGCATATTTGAAAAACATCATAGACCGAGCTTGCCATTACCTACCTCCTGAATAGTCACATAAACCACAGAAGCACACACTGGCACTGGGGGCAGCGCTCATGCCTCTGGCCAGCAACACAGGCACAAACAGGAACCTCCAGGAAAGCAGCTCAGGAAGCCTACCTGGCGTCAAGCTAGGACAAACACTAGTCCTGCTGGCTTCTACATCACAGCAGAAAGAGACCTCCAAAAGTCCCAGATTCCCAAAGTATCCCAAACTAGAGCAAAGCCCAGTGAGCAAAGCACACCTCACCTCTGCATTCACCTTCCCCCAAGGTGTAGAAGAGAAGAAAACTTTCCAAGAGCCAGCTCTGAGGCAGGTGAGAGGCAGCACCAGGGCAAGGGTGCGAAGATCCCACTGCATGTCACCCCAGCTCACAAGAGACAGGGTGAGACATAGGGACTCCCTGGCAGCCCTGGACCTTGGCCATCCCACAGGCACATCTGTCACCTCCCCCAACCCCTTTTCCTACATAAAAGATGAGCACACAGACGATGCCTTCTGAGAGAGCTTTTGACAAAAACTTTTCATCAACACCCTATTATAATAAGACTACAACTCAAACAGCTCAAACCCTTCTTCTACAACTTGTGTTCTCTCAGATCACCAGAGATGTGATACCTTTCCTGCCAGCTGATGACTGGCCTTTAGAATCTTCTGCTGCTGCTTCTCTGATCACCGTCACAATCTGGTGCTCTTCCTCCTCCGCCTCCAGGTCACTGTCTAAGTAGCCAATCAGAAGCTCTGTGTCTGTCTCTATATCTTCCACTGCCAAATAGAAGATGTTCTCTCCTTCCTGAAACAAAGTTTTTTAAAAATGAAGATGACAATTAAGAAACTGTTTTAAGATATACTGAGTTCCATGTGCCCACCAAAAGATACCATTTCATTTTTTATATCCTCAGCTGATCTAGACACTAAAAATGGAAAGTGACAATGTTCATTCATCTGGCAAATAATATACAAATATATATTACGTAAATATAGTGAATTTATGTCTAAAGTGAAATAAGGAAAATGATACATATTTTTGAAGAAAATTTTGCAACATTAACTGGTCTTCTGCGGAGGTCCATAAAAGCAATTTGACAGAAGAGTGCCATTTACAAACCCAGACAAATAGCAGAAATCTTACCAATGATTTCATTATGATTAACATTAAATACAAAACTGGAACAGGAAAAAAATTTTTGAAGTTCCTATCCAAACCAGAGGAATGGTAAACAAATTATTTTCTTGAAAGAATATTCAAAATGCAGGACCAAAAATAGCAGGAAAAATAGATCTTTAGGGGGGTTGAGGGGACAACTGAGCTGTCATGTGCACCCCACCACATCAACCTTCCCAAACCTCACTGAAATAAAAAAGAGTAAACAATTCCACCATCAACATACAAAAGAATACTTTAGAAAATTCCAGAAGATAGCAATCAGACAGTTGACACCATTGATAACTAATACAGAGGAAACCCCAGCCAGTAACAGACACGGAAGAGCAACGCTGCAGAACCTTCCTAACGAAACCCAGAGAAACATCACAATTGGAATCGACTGGTACAAAATGTCACTCCAGGCCAGGGCCATCACCAGGGAAGCGAGAACAGGGCTACTTAGCTGGCTATGCCAGGAGGAAGTGCCAGGATGCCTCTTTACAGAGCTGAGCAAATGTTCCCAGTTTGGCTGCTGAGGACAACAGAAGCAGAGCACAGCCTGAATTTTTTGAGCCTTCATGGTGGGCAAAGAAAGGGAAGATCGAGAAAATAAGCTCCACTCAGGAAACTCAATGAGGCACAGGAAAACACCTGCCTGACTTCAATGTATGAAGGAGGAGGAACAGCAGGACATGGAGCAGAAGCAGGAGGCAGAGGGGAAGGGAGCAAAGGAAGAGCACAGGAAGAGTATGTGTAACGAATGAACAGGCGCAGGTGCAGCTGGATCCTGAGCAGACCAAACCTGGGGCCTCCAGCTGCTCATACACCATCACTCCACGGAAGGGAGGAGAGCTTGTCTACCTCTGATGTTGACCTAGTTTGGATTTTTTTTTTTAAATATCTCTTTAACAAGGAGAGATTACTTTGTAATTTCAACAGAAAAAAATTAAAATTCCATGGAAGAGACAGAAATGATGACTATATGCATCCAAAATTATGGAAAGGAGGCTTCATTCAAAGGTTCAAAACACTGAAAGAAATCTACCCATTAGATACAGTTAATTAAAGAGTGTTCGTGTAATATCAGGAACATCTTGGAAGTTTCTGAATTCTGTGCATCCAGAAACACACAAGTTATTTCTAATTAACAACATTAAATTAACTTCTATATAATTGTTACTCATGATGCAACAAAAATAAGCAAAAAGCATAAACTTTCGGCAAAAGATCTCTTTAAATTAAATCAGAAGTGGACTCCCCAGGGGTTGGAGAACACTGGCTGAGGGGGTTCCTCAAAGCATCTAAGAACTCACCCAGTAAAGACCTCAGCTGAGTTATAAATCTTAGTGCTTATCTGATCAATATCCAAGAAGTTGACTGAAACCTCTTTCTAGAGAGCACAGTGGTCATTAATCTTGTGATGGCTTTCAAAATATGAAGATTTTAATTTTGAAACATGATAAGACTATATTTGAAAGGAAAGCAAGGAACCAGGAAACAGGAAAGCAAGAAGTGAAAGATGGAGACCAGACAGAGATACACACAAGAGAGTTTATTTGTCAGAGGTGACAAATGAAGGCCATCTCTCCATAGTGGAGAGAGGAAACACAGGCTTGGGTTCTGGGGCTTTTATGGGGTTAGGCTCAGGAATTAGAGCTGGGTGGGTCCTACAGTGGGTGATTAAGTTTGGGGTTGGTCTGCCCTTTGGTGAGAAAGAATACAGCAGCCAAGGTTTGAGGGCGTGGCAATACACCTTTGGGCAGGAAAACAGTGGCCGCCCAGATGCAAAGCAAGGAAATTACAATATTTTTTAAAAATATTTATATTTTAGTTGGGCACAATATCTTTATTTATTTATTGTTATGTGGTGCTGAGGATGAACCCAGGGCCTCGCACTTGCTAGGCAAGCGCTCTACCACCGAGCCACAACCCCAGCCCAAGGACCTTACAATATTAAACTGTAGTCTGAAGACAGCACGTTGATCAGGGTGCTCTGTAATGAAGCACCATTTTAATACCCCAGCCAAGCCAACAATGGGAGTGAGTGGCACCACCGCTCTGAGACCAGCCCCCTGCCCGCTGGGTCACCACAGGAAGAGACATAGCCAGAACCCAGTGGCTTCCACCTGTGCATTAACAGGGGTGTCCTTCCACTGGAAGGCCCTACCACTGTCCACCGGGGCCAAGGGGCCTGGTAGGAAAAAGCAAGGTATTCTTAGGCAGCCCTTGAGGGACTGGGGCCTATGGGAGGAAGTGAGGTCATTGTGGGTCTGCCCTTGAAGGCAACACTGGAACCCCAGACCTTTTCAATCTCTTTTCTTCAGGCCACCATGGAGTCAGCCGAGTTGCTCCAACCTGTACTCCCACCATAGACACAAAAGCAACAAAGCCAGACAAACACAGACTGACACCACTGAAAGCATAAGCAAATACAAACCTTTCCTCCTTATGACAGAATTGCAAGTATTTTGCCACAGTAGTTCAAAGCTAACTAACACACCTACACTGCACTCACTTTTACTGTGCCCACAGTTCCTACAACTTTCCATTATATCCTCCTCCTTCTAACCCTCTGACTCTCAGACCCCAGCACTCCCTAATTTCTGGAGTCCCATGGAACTATTTTTGCCATGTGTGGGCTCATCCCAGGCCCAATCAGAAAGGATCCAAACAGGGCTTATGTGCTCTGTGACTCAAATCAGCTCCCTCTTGTCATTAGCCTGGCTACAACATTGTGCTCCATATCCAATAGCCACTTTAATCCATTTGCCCCATCATCCCAGATATGGAACACCTGCAAATACTTAAACATAAAATTTTAATACCAAGAAGAATAACTATATCATATTTATTATAATATTTTTAATTAACATAATAATATATAAGCTGTAGATGATCTCCGACCAATTTTGATGAGCCTGTGCCAATTTCTTTGAAGTGTTCACAGACATGAAAACCAGGAACCTAACAGTTCACACTCTGATCCTGACACTCATTCCTGGGTGACCCACCCATCACTTCCATTCCTGGCTTACTCCCCTGAACAGGCCCCTGCACAGCAGCATCACTGCTGTTTGGGCCTCAGGACCAGCTGCCTCCCTGGGACTCCACGGGGTGGGGGGCAACATCCCACATAAGGTTCTGCCTCAGGACACAGCTGATTTCATGAAAACACAAAGCTCTTTGCCATTCTGCTCTGCTCTGCTCAAAAGCAACATTCCTCAGTTACTGGTTTTTACAGAATTATAATTTGAATATGCCATACAATGAGTGATTTTATGATTGTTATTCATCTTTGCATGACTGCCCATACTTTTGAATTCTTTTTCTTTTCATTTCTTTTGGTGGCACTGGGGATTGAACTCAGGGCAATTAACCACTGCCATGTCCCCAGTCCTTTTCATTTGGAGACAGGGTCTCACTCAGTCGCTGAGGATGGCTTTGAACTCACCATCCTCCTCTCTCAGCTTCCCGAGTCACTGGGATTGTAGGTGTGCACCACCGTACCCAGCTTGAGTTTTCCATATTTGTAAGTATCCTTTCATTTTGCTCTATTTTATTTTCATTTGCACATCCTCTCTGGCTAATTATTTCTACTCTTAGTTGTTTGTAATATCAAAACTTTGCAACAGTCTACATGTCCAACTAGAAAATTAAAGGTTTGACAATTGGTTTCAAACGATTTATCAAACATCATATTTTGTTTTTGTTTATTTAACTAATTTTGTTAATTTATATATGACAGCGGAATGCATTACAATTCACATTACACATATTTTCATATCTCTGGATGTATACAAAGTATATTCACACCAATTTGTGCCTTCATACATGTACTTTGGATAATAATGTCCATCACATTCAACCATCATTCCTAACCCCAATGCACCCGCCCTTCCCCTCTCACCCCTCTACCCTATCTAGAGTTTGTCTATTCCTCCCATGCTCCCTCTCCCTAACTCGCTATGAATTAGCCTCCTTATATGAGAGAAAACATTCAGCATTTGTTTTTTGGGGATTGGCTAACTTCACTTAGCATTATTTTCTCTAACTCCGTCCATTTACCTGCAAATGCCATAATTTTATTTTCTTTTATTGCTGAGTAATATTCTATTGTGTATATATGCCACATTTTTTATCCATTTATCTACTGAAGGGCATCTATATTGGTTCCACTGTTTAGCTATTATGAATTGTGCTGCTATAAACACTTATGTGGCTGTGTCCCTATAATATGCTATTTTTAAGTCCTTTGGGTATAGAACAAGGAGAAGGATAGCTGGGTCAAATGGTGGTTCCATTCCCAATTTTCCAAGATATCTCCACCCTGCTTTCCAGATTGACTGCATCAATTTGCAGTCCCACCAGCAGTGTATGAATGTACCTTTTCCCCACATCCTCGCCAACACTTACTATTATTTATATTCATAATGGCTGCCATTCTGACAGGAGTGAGATGAAATCTTAGAGTGGTTTTGATTTGCATTTCTCTAATTGCTAGCAATGATGAACATTTTTTCATATATTTGTAGATTGATTGTATATCATCTTCCAGGAAGTGTCTGTTCAGGTACTTGGTCCATTTATTGACCTGGTTTTTTGTTTGTTTGTTTGTTTGTTTGGTGTTTAACTTTTTTAGTTCTTTA